TCTGCATAGCCCAGCACTAGACTAACAGAAAATTCTACACCCCAGCTAAACCAGGCAGAAATGTAATGCTTTCACAATGGCTGCCCTGTTTGTTCACCTGCAATACTCCAGAAACCAAAGCAGAGCACTGAAGCACCTGAAACTGTAGCTGGTCTAAAGAGATACCAGGAACTGTTCACTTTTATTACTCTGGCTTGCTAACAGCCCTCAATCAAGAGGCCTGATCATTGATACGTGTGATACCTGAAAAGTAAATACTTTAAACTCAGCTGTACAATCGTTCAAAGATTATCCAATAATAAAATAATACAGGTTAGAAAGCCAAGATACACACACCAAAAGGCTACTAAAAAACTCCAAACTACCAGCTAAATCTAGGACTGGGAGGTCTGGAAGACAGATTTATTTTTTTTTTTACAATGGAAAGCATTATCCTCATAAAATTTTAACTACAAAAAAAATACTGACTGTTTTTCCTGTATCACCCAATAGCAAATTAAAACACAGCAGTCTGAATTTGCAAGAGGAAGTCATGTGCATTTTACAGCTATTTTGAAGATTCACACTGTAAATCACTCCCATTACTCAGGAACCTGCACAGACACACCCGTGGACTGGACTCAGCTACAAATAAAGCATCCACTATGTCTTGCAGTGTTCTGTGTTTTGACCTGTAAAAGCACTGAGCACAAGTAGTTCCCCATCTAGGCAACAACTTGGAGGTGAGCTGAGACTTCAGCTCTTTCTGCTGGAATGGAATCTAACATTTACTTCACATGCAAGCAAGGACTGCCTTTTATTCAGTAATACTGAGCAGTGTTTCAAAAGATACCTTTTTTCTGACATGATTTTCAAAAATTCTTATAAGGGTCAGCAATGCCCTAAGCCTATCCTGAGATAGCAGTTTTACATTTAACCCTTGGAAGTTGTTATTCAACAATAATTAGGATTTTAAAAAGGAGGCTAGTGTACATGCCAACTCAGAATCAATATATACTCCACCATTTAAACTACTTTGCCTCCTACTCATTCACATTAAAGAATATATAATGTTAAATTCCAATCCACAAATTGATACTTATACATGGTTCATTACACTCAAGAATCCCACCTTGGAAGCACTTCTCTTCATGTAAGCAGCTACTGAAGCTCATGAAGCAAATATACATACTTAACTTTACCAAAAGCACATTTATCATTTATAGTGCAGTAACAGGTTGGTTCTTTTCCTAATCACTGCAGAACAGACTAAAGGCTCTGCTGAAGAGATTTTTTATACTGCCTTACATTTCCACTCATGCATCTATGAAATGAAGTGACATATGACTGAAATGTCAACAGACAAAAGACTTTCATGATAAAGCTCTGATGCTCATCAGAAGACCCCACGAAAAGCTAAAGGTGCATGAGCACCATTTGCACAGTTCAGTTACAGACCCACTTCCCTCTTGCAGGTTCCTGGGCAACAAAAGGAGACAGTGCAAGTGCTTTAGCCAGTTCAACTGCAAATTCAAGAGTTAATGTGAGATGCAGTATAATCCAGTCTAACACCAGAGATGGACTTTGTATTTCAAAGACTTAACTAGAATTTATTGGCTGAAGAATACCAGAGAGAATAACAATGATTTGTAGAGTTTTCTTGACAAGTCACACACATATGAAGCAACCAGCAACCCAATGTAAAAAAGCTTCACAAATGGCCCAGCATTCATTGGAAATAACAAAACTTGCCTGAATAGTTTGTTGCACAAAGATCTCTTTGTCTCCTTTACCTATCATGCTACAAAATATTCCATTAGAAACACAATCTCAGATGAATCACAACAGAAAAATAAAATACTTTCTATTACCTTTGAAGACATTTTCCTAAGCCAGAGATATTAAAGGAACCATTAACAGCCAGACAACTGTTAGAATCAGTTGCCATTTTAATTAAATTTCCAACCTATTACACTCAGGTAAGAGACGAACCTGTTAGACAGTTTATGTGCTACCACGTGTACAATGACAACCCAACAAGATTGCTAAAGAATAATTTTGGGGTATGAAAACATTTCCAGCTTCTTACAGTTGGTGTTGTTCATTGCAAAACCCAAAATGCCTGCCTTCAAGAACTTCTCACATCTTTATTACACAATAATCATTACTTAAGCAAACAGTGCCAACCTGTCATCACATCAGAACTCTTGGTAAGAATTTTACATGACTATAAGACTAAAAACAAAATTGACGAGAAATTTTATAGTTTGTTTTAGTTCACTGTAATCCTAATAACACTTTTACCTAAACTAATCTGGACAGACTGACTACACCTTTTTATTTCACTTGTTGGGTGAAGTTTTTGGTTTCTTTTTCCTAAGGCTACTTTTTCCATAGCTACTGTCTACTAGTCAACACAGTGATCAGCAAACACACTTTCCTATTGTTTCCAGTCAATACCCAGCTTACCTGTGTTTTGCATGGTATCTTTCACAAGAACTCTGTCATAAATGGCTTTCTCAGACTAAGCATTACATCACCAGGTAACACTGCAAAACAGGGAAGCTCAAGTACAAGAGATAACTCTGTTTTCAACTGAAGTTTCTTTAAGAAAAAGGATTCTGCTAAAGAAGTTCTGGTTTACGTAAGATACAAAATGCAGCTCTACTGTGTAGCAGCTGCGTAGAGAGACAAAACAAAGGTTTGAACTAAACTTAAAGGGACTGGGGTAAAAAGATCCAAAAACCCAGATATTTTACGTAATCTAATGTGAGATGAATTTCAAACTCCTTCTGGCTTCAGGTTTATGTATTTGCTTACAATTACACATCCAACATTAATCAGAGCAGCAAGCCACCCAAGTTATGAAACACACTAAAAGGAGATGAACTGGATGGGAAAGCATCACACTGCCTAAGAAAAAGACAGAATTCTTAAGCTGAAGAAGATATGATGTTGATCACCCCTGCTTGTACTCCACACAAAAAAGAGGGTGGCCATAGGTGTCACATACTCACAGCCATCCTGTATTTACAGACAGCACATAAAGGAAGCAAAAGACACATACCAGAGTCTCACCCACACTAGGTGTCCCAATATTAATTCATTTTTGCCCAAGATCAAATAGAAATGGAAAAGCTGGCTGTACACTGGGACACTGAGTCCTCCAGCCCAGGCAGAACTCGACACAGCCTCTGACTCAACTCACACAAAGACCTGCTTTGATGCATGTGCTTGAAGGGAAGGAGTGGAACAGTGAACATACACAGTGGTACTTACAGGATTTCCTTGCTTTTATCAGTTTAACACTTCAACTCAATTATTCCTCTCAGGTTTTTAATGTGACTTCTCTAAACACCAATGTCAGTGCTAAGGTGCAAAGCTCAGCATTTCTATCTATTCTTTCAACATCAGAGAAGCTTTAGAAGATAAGGTTTACTCAAATTTTACATTTGCTTTCCTTTGTTTACATCACAAGTTAGATAGTTAAACAGAAATTTACAATTCCTTAAAGGCAGCACCAGGTTTTCTATCAAACTCATGCACATGGTTAATATTATGGTCATATTAACTCCAAGTCTGGAGTTAACAAGTCCAAAATAAAGTTCGTCAGTTAAGGTTTAACAAGTGAGGCTGGATTTGCTCCCATCATAACACAAGTCATGGGATACACTGGGATACACCTTGAGAGTGTTATTTTTTGTCAAGGAGCCCCAACATTGGAAGCTCATGTATCAGGGGAAGAAAACACCTTAGCAACAGCATCCTCACTGTGAACATCACAGGAGGCTTGGATACTTCAGGGTTTGCAATCTTCTGTGTCTTCAGCACAGAACAACTCTTACTCTTCCAAGTCAGTAAAATAAGTCTCTACTTCAGCAACCCATGAATTCAATGCCAGCAATAGCACTACTGTCACCTTTCAGGTGACAAGCATTCTGCCTTTAGCTCTGCTTATAAGAAGGCCAGGAGCAGCTCTGTCCTTACTGGAACCCAGTTTGCATTCACCTTCTGACACTGATAACATCACCTGTGCAAAGAAGAATGTCTTAAGGGAGGGGAAGAAATCAAATTTATGACTGAGTACACAACCTGGACAAAGCACACCTTCTATGACAGCTCCTCCACACCTGTGACAGAGCCATAACTCTTGTTCACACTACAGAAGGCAGAGCTCTGGCAGACCTTCCTACAAACCTGTAGTGTCAAGGCATTGGTAAGATACAGATCTTGGCATATTTGGCACTGGAGACTGCAGCATGTTTGCTTTCAATGGCTCTTTTCAAATGTTGTTTCCAGAACACGTCAAAAGCTGTAAAATTCCAGCAATGGAATTACTGTCTGTATGGTCACTACGTACTGAAAAACACCATTTGGGGGGATAGCAGAGCTCTAATGTTTTCAAACCTGACTTTCCTAGAGTTTCTCCACTATCCCTGAAAACAAATAAGCAAACACTTCAATCCTTTAGGATGTGAAAAAGTCAATTGTGAGCTCTATAGAAGACTGTAGATTAATTAATTTCTGTTAATTCATCTAAAACATAGTATTATAGACAATATTATTATAGTAGCAATATTCCATGTAGTTCTTGAAATTAGGGTCATGATTTTCCCCTCTATTCTGACATTGATTTCTTTCTGATGAGTTTTTTTTCACGCTCAATTTGAGGCAGCAGGTCTTAGACTACGACTCAAAGGTAAGTATTATCCATCAGGCTATCCAATATTGTCTTTGGCAGCTGGAAAATAAGTTCAGAACAATTCAGTCCAGAACTAAGTAGAGCATATTGCTTCTTGGACCCCACATCTACTAATTTAACATGCTTAATAACACAATTAAATCCAGAAAAACATTGCATTTCTATTTTTCATAGCTCTTTTAAAAGCCAGCTTCAGGAAGTTCAGTATTAGCTTCATATAGCATTAAGCAACAGAGCTGCTACTTGGAATCAAATTAACCACTCTCTGTATGTGGTTCTTCAGCCCTCTTCTCAACAGTTTGAAACAGTGAACCTCACAATGCCAATAAACATCTCTCAAAAACTCCAAATCAAGTCTTATAAAGTGACAGAAAAATACCGTTTTAAAACCAGGCAAGAACAGATGATTGAAGATTTTCAGAAAGAGCTCAAGGCAATATGCAACTAGTTCTTCTTTTAAAATAAAACAAATGACATTTGAAATGTCATCTAACAGCCTCATGAAACATCTTCATACTTTCAGTTTCTCATATCTTCAGAGCTTAACTATCTCCTCCCTCAAGTCAAGTGCAACACAAGCATTCACTGCAGCCAGTGATTACATTTCTTTGCTCACAGAGAAACACAGCTGTGGCTCACAGTTTCAATCATTTCCTTATACCACAAAACATACTGACATAGGTGCCATACCTGGATTTTTAGTCTATTCTGCTTGCAACATTTTAACTTCTGAAAAGCAGTTCTATGAGGAGATAAAGCAAAGCAGCACTGAAGCTGGAATGTCATACTTCTCATCTTCACACATTTCAATTCCCTAAGAAATCCTCTTTTGGTCTGCACGGAGTCTCATTGCAAGGATACATGTACCAGACTCACCTGTGCAGACTATTTTCCGGGACAAGAGCCAAAATCTGCAAGCCTACATCATAATCATATTGCTGAAGTCCCTCTTTCAAACCTAGAAGGGCAGGCAGCTTTTACAAATACCATCTGCAAAAACAAGGACACGTACCCCTACCGCAACACCGCAGCCGGCTCTAGCAAATAACCTTCCTAACAGCTGCTGGGCTTTGTTATCTAATTATTTACCCATACAGAAAATCAACACGCAGTCAATGAAACAGCACAGCGTAATTAACACCACGGAAAAGAAAAGCTGTACAGAAACAAAGAGACTGCGAGCCAGCACAGGAGCCTGCGCTACCCGCTCGGAGGTCCTGACCGGAGGTGTTGCTATGGCAGGACCTCAGCCCGGCTCTGCTGTCACCTCGCTCCCTCCTCCTGCGCCTCGCCCCCGGCCCTAGCGCGACCCCGCCAGCCCAGCGCCCCCACCTGCACAGGGACAGCCCCTGGCACCGGGGAGTTCTGCCTCCCGCCCGTCCTTCCCCCGCCTCCCCCACGGTTTATCTCCCGCTGACAGTGAAGCGGATCAGCGGCCCCGCTGCCCTCCCGGGCCCGCCGGGCAGCGCCCGTCCCGTCCAGCGCCGGCGCCCTCGGCCGCTCCACGCCTCCCCTCGAGGAGCGCGGCAGTGCCCGCGGCCGGGGGACGCCGGCAGTGCCAAGGCGCCGGTTCCGAGCATCCACCCACTCGCCCGCCCGTGCTGCGGCTCGGCCCTCACCCGGTCGCTAGGCGGGCGGCAGGAGCGGCGGCGGCGCGGCCATGGCGGGCGCAGCGCGGTCCCGCTCCCCNNGGGCTCGGGGCAGCTTCGGGCGGCGGGGCCGGCCCAGCCCCGCGGGGCCGCGGGTCCTGAGGGCCCTGCGGGTGCTATGGTGCCGCTCGGGATGGGCTGGGGGCGGACGGGCCACCGCGGCAGCCACCGGGACCAGCAGGTAACGTGGGATCCATCTCGCCGCCTTCCCTCGCCCTCGTGCTGCCGCGCTCCCACCCGCTCCGCCGAAAGCCTGCGAGCCACCGACGGTGCTAAAAGCTCCGAGCGGCTGGATGTGGGACATAATGCTGCGGTATTAGTGCGCCAGCGGACATTTAGGGTGGACATTAGGAGGAATTTCTTCACGGGAAGGGCGATCAGATACCGGAACGGACGGCCCAGGGAGGTGGTGGAGTCACCGTCCCTGAGGTGTTCGAGGAGAGCTGGACGTGGCACTCAGCGCCGTGCTGGTGTGGGGTCACAGGCTGGGCTCGATGATCTCAGAAGTGTTTTCCAACCTAATTAATTCTGTGATTTCACACAAGATAATTTCAGGCATGCGTCTATAAATTGTTTCAGTCTGGATGAATTTTTTTCTCTTCTTATTTAAACGTGTTTATGTTAACAAGGGATCCCATGTCAGACATTCCATGGCACTATCCAAGCCCACAGCCCTGAGCAGCTGCCTTACAGGAGGGATTCTTCACCCCAGCACTTTTCAGAGAGATGGTTACGAAGATGCCTCTCCTTTTTGCAAGATCCAGTGCACAAGTAATGACAAATAGAATCTTCTCTCTTAAGAGCATCTCATTCTCCATAACCAACCCCTGCACATTATGTCAAAACCTGCACCTACATGCCATGCAAGAGTCAATGCAGTAATGTTAATAAAGAGCTTCACTTAGTACTTAGCACCTGCTGGGACTTCATTCTGATTGGATTTTGAAAAAAAGGTGAAAATTTTGCTGGGCATCAAAAATCTGGACTGCATTTCAGTGCTGGGATCAGCAGTTTTTCAGTGGAACATAAAGGTTTTTTGAATCCAGAGCACAGCATAAATGCCGGGTTTTTAATAAAAAAGAAATTGAAAAAATACCTTAGCAGACAAGCTGCTAAGTAAAAGCAGTTGTATTTGCTATAGCAGCTCAGCTAAGATGAGCATTGGCACCTCTCCTGGAAGTAACATCTTAAACATAACAATAGAAAAGCAAGTTAGAATTACTGAATAATTCAGGTTGGAAGGGACCTCAGTAAATTATCTAGTCCAATCCCCTACTCATAGCAAGACTAACTTTAATGATAGATCAGATTGTTGCTTTATTTTGGCTAATTTATTTTTATATATGGATAAAAGCATACAAATACCTACATGTATGAAAGCATCACCTACCCAATGATGCAGTGATGATTCCTTCAGTTTGTATCATGGATGACCTTAAAAGTAGAATGTGCTGCATAATTTCACTTACAAACATTAATTGAGAGAGTTATTTCAGAGCAAGTTCTTTTTCTCCATATTCTTTCTAGATATTTGGAATTTCAGAGCTGCAACTGCAAATTTGGGCGTCCTAGAAAATGCTCCTTGAAACCTGCTGTTTAACCCCAGCCAACAACTATGCCCCACAAATCTGCTGGCTCTCCTGGCTCCAGCAGGCCAGGAGAGAGAAATGGAAGACTCAAACTTGTGGGTCAAGATAAAGACCGTTTAATGTGACAGAAAATAAAATAATAAGCATGATAATATATACAAACCCAGTGATACACAATGCAATTTTTCCCCACTTACTGACTGATGCCCAGACAGTTCCCAAACTGTTCCCTGGTCAGCTGTTCCTCAGTTTATGTCCTGAGGATGATGCCATTTGGTATGGAATAATCTTTGGCCAGCTGGTATCAGCTGTCCCAGCTGTGTTCCCCCCCCACCCCAGCTTCTTGCTGGCAGGGTATGAGAAGCTGAAAGGTCCTTGACAATAGTGTAAACACATTTAGAAACAACTAAAAACATTAGTATGTTATCAACATTTTTCTAAATCCATCCTAAATGCAAAGCACTGCTCTGTACGAGCTACTAGGAAGAAAATTAACTCTATCCCAGCCAAAACCAGGACAAAACAGATTAAATGATCCTTAAAAACAACAGTGGGATCTTAGAAAAAAATCAATCTGTAAACCTTCAGTGCCATCATAACTATAAATCTTTCAGTGTCCATTGTTCTGGGAAAGATAATACTGCTTCAAGTAATTAAGCAGCCATCACCTCTAGGAGTCAGTCATATGTCTTTAGAAACATTAATTTGAAAGCACAAATGGAAGTAGGTTGCAGAGAGCACTCATGCCCTCAACTTAAACTTCCAAATAACATTTTAAAGGCAAGTGTCTAGCCCTTGCTTTGCTCAAATTACACTGTGCATGCCATCTTTCTAAAAATACATAGAAAATCAGGTGTGGAACAGAGACAAGTAAAAATTGTCTCTTTTCAGAAAGCAGTGCCATGCAACACTCACTTGCTAATTGCCATGCAGCACAAGTCTGAGCTCTGCTTTCAGAAAGGGCTCTTTGCCACTACTGCTGCTGTTCTGCAGCTGAGCTGCAAAGTTCACACTGCTGCTCTGTAACACAGTCACTTCAGTGCCCAAATGCTTCTTTTCTTATTTGGTCTTCTAGATATTTAAAGACGACTGCAGAGACATCAGTATACTCTGACTCCAGTCTGTTTAAGATTTGTGCTTTTACCTTGCTGTACACTTTGTCTACAGTCCCACTGATGTGACCTGTATGTGTTTAGTGTGTTCCAACAGAAGAATTTAATCTGATTTTTGCCTTTTATTTTGGGCATTTTTTAGAGAAGGATTAAAATCAGGTTAAGAAAATAGAGCCTGGTTAGTGCAGTTCTTCCTTAAAGGCAGAAGAAAAGGAATAGACTCCCCACAGCTTCAGTCCTAGAACTGATGCTGACAGTTCTGACTCTTAGAATACCTGTGCTTGAGTCCCATTTTCATGTGAAGAGTATCTTATCCCCAGGAATGACAATGACAGGTCACAGAGAGAGTCCTTCTCCACACTACCTGCATGGTGTTAAATCAAAATTAAATACTGTACCTCTTAATTAGCCAGCCATAGCTCTTATTTGGCATGTACAAATGCTGAGGAAAACAATTCCTGAGAGAATTTACCATCTGAAAGACAGACAGTCCTACACAACAGATTTGTCTGCTGCAGACAAACTCTGCATTGCAGAGGCAGAAGCAGAATTTGGCCCACATATTCAAGAGGTTGTCGTTCTGCCTTTTGGCTTGTGCTTTATTATATAAGAAAAAGGAAAGGAAATGTTCATCTGATTGCTCAGTTTACGGATGACATTTGTTAATCATCCAGAGCATTTCTATAGCTTTGCCCACTGGAAAGGCTTACAAAGCTATTTTTTCTCCTTCAGCTAAAGAAGTGTTAGCAACTCCACTTTAAGGGAGAACAGTGAGGTGGCTCAAACGGCAGATGTGCTGAGTGATACCCCACACTCCTCTGAGACCACCAGTGTCAAAGGACCATGTCTGGCACTGCTGAGGAGGAGCTGGCAGCAGAGCCAGCTTGCCCAATTCCCATCTTCTGTATTTGTCAGAGGGCTGGTCTGTTGGAATGTAATTACTGCAGGCTGAATTGATTCCTGCATTTCACATCATGGCAAAATTACACAAAGAGTTATTATTTTCTTCATGGGGAATAGTTTTCATTGTGTAACTGTTTCATTCTGAGCCAGCACAGTTTGCCAGGGGTGTTTAGGGAGAACCATTCACAAAGCCCCATCTTCCCTCCACGTGTCAGGCAAGGACAGCATCTCTGCTGAAGCTGCTTGCCACTACCACATCTGATCTCTACCTGGCAAATCCCAAGTGTGACTGTGATCACTCAAATGCTCTAAGCAAGTTACATTTGGAAAAAATTCTGTTCATTCTATGTTGCTTGGACTGTCCTTTTTCAGCATGTAGCACAGTGGTGTCTCAGCAGGTTCCTAGGCATTTAGATCCTGGAGCTAGTGACAGACTGGTACAGTTATTACAGAACATACATGTAGGTAAGCCCAAAGCTAATGTAAAGAGCCCAAAGCTCTTTCTAACAACTGCAGGCCAGTCACACCAGCCTCGTGCAGCTCCTGGGATGTTTGTCCTGATCAGCCACCGTGCTAAGAGCACTCTCCTCAGTTACCTCTGACAGACACTCAGTTACCCTGCAGGGAGACCTGGACAGGCTGGAAGAGTGAGCTGAAAAGAGCTTTATAAAGTTCAACAAGGCCAAGTGTAACATCTTGCACCTTGCATAACATAATCCAGAAGTGCAGCACAGGCTGGTATCTACCCATCTGAGGAGCAGCTCTGTGTAAACAGACCTGGGGTTCCTGGTGGACAAGCAGCTCACTGTGAGTGAACACGATGCTGCTGCAGCAAAGAAAGCCAACAGGATGCTGGGCTGCATCAACAAGGGCATCACCAGCACAGATAAAGAAGTATTTGCCCCACTTAGTGCTTGCCAGGCTACACCTGAAATGCTGCAGTCACTTTTGGTCCCTGCTACATAACAGAGATGTGGACAGGCTGGAGAGGCACCAGAGAAGAGCCACAAAGAACATCAAGGTTTCAGAAGTTTGACATAGAAAGAGCAGCTGAGAGAAATGGGATTGCTCAGCTGTCAGTAGAGAAGGCTCCTAAAGGGGATAAAGGGGAGGCTTTATCACCACATTCTAATATTTAAAGGGTGAATACAAAGAAGATGGAAATTATTTTTTTTATTTTTTTTTACATGGATTCCCATGGAAAAGACAGAGGGTAATGGATACAAATAACTTCTGGGAAGATTCCAATTAGACACAGGAGTAAAATGTTTCACAATAAGAAAAAACAGGCTTTGGAATAATCTCCCTAAGGAAGTGATGGATTCCCCAATGCTGGACAATTTTAAGATTCAGGTGGACAGGGTGCTGGGTCATCTTGTCTAGATGTTTTAAGCTACAAGGAAGCCTAATTTTTTTTTCTTTTTTTTTTTTTTTTTTTGTTCACAATAAGAAAAAACAGGCTTTGGAATAATCTCCCTAAGGAAGTGATGGATTCCCCAATGCTGGACAATTTTAAGATTCAGCTGGACATGGTGCTGGGTCATCTTGTCTAGACCTTTTAAGCTACAAGGAGCCTCATTTTTTTTTTGAGAGAGAGGTTTGAATGACAGAGAAGTATTTCTTAGTGGTATTAGCTTTTCCTAGGCATGAGGATTACTGGGCTAATCCTAGGGACAGAGGAACAAGGGGCAGGGAGATGATGAAGGCTGTATGACCATCATCACCCTGTCTCCCCACAATCTCCCACACAGAGGTGTGCCTACTCTGATATACAATGCTGAGCAATTTGACATGTGGGTTTCTTGAAATCCCACCAAATCCCACCTAATTTTCCTTCTTGTTGCAAGAGCAGCCTCTGATGCACTCAGCTTTGCTCAGCCTGGAGCTGGGGGCTGGAGGTTCATGTGAGCCAGGAGGAGTCTTTCCTCTGACTTTAGTAGGCGGTATCTAAACCCCTGAGAGAAAACGCAGCAGCCATCAGGTGTGTTGTTCATTTTTCTTTTGAGAATGCTTAGTTTGGCAGACAGGATCCTAGACTTAAATACAGGTAATTTAGACTGAAACGCTGTCACAGTCAGATGCCAAATGACTTAAGGCAAAATAGCTGTGCTTCAGTTACATCTCTGTGAACAGAGATAATTATTCCCTGCTGTACAGAACATGTAACAATAAAATCCATCACTGATTTTATACACTTTAATAATAAGTACAACAATGTAGGCACTAAAATAGATCAGATTAATTTATTTTTTGGTGAAAGCTTAATTGCACAGCACTGAGAACACCTGAGATCATGTCTGAGTAGTCATGAGGATGAAGTATATTTTCCCATTAAGATAGAGACATGGAGATTGGAGACAAAAGTTGAAGAAAAGGGAAAAACACCTTGTATAGAAAAGAAAGAGGGAAAAGGACAAAGGAGAATGAGAATGGGAGATGAAGTGATGTATGTTCTCGGCTGCAAGGCGAAATTCAAATACTTAAAAATACAAATGCGTCAATTTTATGTATCAAATTTACACACAGAGGTGTGCCTACTCTGATATGCAATGCTGAGCAATTTGGCATATGGGTTTCTTGAAATCCCACCAAATCCCACCTAATTTTCCTTCTTGTTGCAAGAGTATTAGCTTTTCCTAGGCATGAGGATTACTGGGCTAATCCTAGGGACAGAGGAACAAGGGGCAGGGAGATGATGAAGGCTGTATGACCATCATCACCCTGTCTCCCCACAATCTCCCACACAGAGGTGTGCCTACTCTGATATACAATGCTGAGCAATTTGACATGTGGGTTTCTTGAAATCCCACCAAATCCCACCTAATTTTCCTTCTTGTTGCAAGAGCAGCCTCTGATGCACTCAGCTTTGCTCAGCCTGGAGCTGGGGGCTGGAGGTTCATGTGAGCCAGGAGGAGTCTTTCCTCTGACTTTAGTAGGCGGTATCTAAACCCCTGAGAGAAAACGCAGCAGCCATCAGGTGTGTTGTTCATTTTTCTTTTGAGAATGCTTAGTTTGGCAGACAGGATCCTAGACTTAAATACAGGTAATTTAGACTGAAACGCTGTCACAGCCAGATGCCAAATGACTTAAGGCAAAATAGCTGTGCTTCAGTTACATCTCTGTGAACAGAGATAATTATTCCCTGCTGTACAGAACATGTAACAATAAAATCCATCACTGATTTTATATACTTTAATAATAAGTACAACAATGTAGGCACTAAAATAGATCAGATTAATTTATTTTTTGGTGAAAGCTTAATTGCACAGCACTGAGAACACCTGAGATCATGTCTGAGTAGTCATGAGGATGAAGTATATTTTCCCATTAAGATAGAGACATGGAGATTGGAGACAAAAGTTGAAGAAAAGGGAAAAACACCTTGTATAGAAAAGAAAGAGGGAAAAGGACAAAGGAGAATGAGAATGGGAGATGAAGTGATGTATGTTCTCGGCTGCAAGGCGAAATTCAAGTACTTAAAAATACAAATGCATCAATTTTGTGTATCAAATTTCTGCTTTTTGCATAGCTCTCACAGCCATTTTCTGAATTTGTATGAAATAAATTGGGGTTACTGGTTCAACCATGAGTGATGATTATGTCCACGAAGGTGCTCAGAGGCCCGGAGCACCTCTGCTATGAGGTCAGGCTGGGAACCCACAGCCATTTTCTGAATTTGTACAAAATAAATTTGGGTTACTGGTTCAACCATGAATAATTCTGTCCCCAAAGACACGCAGAGGCCTGGAGCACCTCTGCTATGAGGTCAGGCTGGGAACTGGGGCTGTTCATCCTGGAGAGCCTCCAGAAAGACCTCAGAGCACCTTCCAGTACCCAGAGGCACAAGAGACCTGAAGAGGGCCTTTTTACAAGGGCACGTAGTGATCGGACAAAGGGGAATGGCTTCAAATGAGAGAGGACGGGCTTAGATTAGATATTGGGAAGAAATCCTTTGCTGTGCTGGTAGTGAGGCCCTGACACTGGGTTACTTAGAGAAGGTGTGGAGGCCCCATGCCCTATCCCTGAAATTGTTCAAGTCCAGATTGAATGGGGTTTAGAACAACCCGAACTAGTGGAATATCCTGAGGCCGCGCCTTCCCGGCCGCGATGACCGCGCCGCGGGCAGCACAGGCCCCGCTCCGCCCCTGAGCACCGGGTCCCGCCTGGGCGGGGCGGAACGAGCGGCGCGGGCCCGCCGGCAGCGCCTGGAGCCGTCGCTGGCCTGTGGGGGCCGCTGCTTCCTCTCTTCCCGCCGACGGTCCTCGAGTGAGCGCCCGGCCCTGCTTCCCGCGTGGGGCAGCGCCGACGGCGGGGCGGCGGCCCGGGGTGAGCGCTGCTCCGAGGGGCTCGGGGCGGCCCGGGGTGAGGGTGCTCTCGGGGGACACAGGGGCAGGGGGTGGGCGCTTCGCTTTCCCCCGGGAAAGGAGCCGGGGGTGAGCGCTCTGCTGAGAGGAGAGGGCCGGAGGTGGCGGGGTTGGCTGCGAGCTTGGGTGCAGGCCGTGGGACGGGGCTGTCTAATTTTAGTCTGAGTTACTTAAAATCACTTAATTTTAATCACTTAAAAATCACTTTAGAATCAGTTAATTTTAATGACACCCCTTTAATTGAGGTTGTTGAAAGCACATTTCTGGTGGAGTTAGTTTGCAGTGTCACTTAGGAGACTACTCTGCTTTATTCACAGGTTCATTTTAGTTTGTTTTTGCCTATATTTTTAATTTAAAACAATTCTATTGCGTCTTAACACTTGGAAAGCAGGTGCTGAAAATGCATTTTGGCAGAGCCCAGGGCTGTGCTTCCCCTCAGGCAGCCGCTCTTCGGGCAGTGGTTCCCCTCAGGCTCCCGGCATGAGGAACCCAGGAATGCAGCCTCTGCTTTTTATTACTACAAACTCTTTTAACAAAAGTATAGCGAGGTCTCCTCCAGAGACACAGTGAGCTTCACGTGCAGGTGTTGGTGGCTGCTGCTATTTGTCAGTGTGTTCCTCTTCTGAAGGAATTTTCATCATTTAATCTGCAGTATTCATTGTTGAGTTCCTTAGTGCAGAAAGTGTTTTGCTGTGCAAACAAAAGTAATAGATGGTAGAGAAATTAGCCTTACAGAATGAATGCTTAAATACATCTTCAGAATATGACCCAAAAATTCTTCAATTTGTGCGCCTGCCTGAATTAATCTTTAAATCCATGCTTTTGCAGTTACCTGGCCCACAGCCACCTTTGGTCATACTCTAATGTCAACCTTTACATGATGGCAGAACCACTTAATCTTCAGCATAATGAAGTTGCAGATGCAGATTTAAGCGACAGGGTCACAGGTACAAACTTACTGTTAAAAAGCTTTGAGTTTTGAGGCTGAGTTTCTGAAATATTGAACAAAATCCAATATTTTGTAAGCAAACAATACAGGGTATTTTTGACAAATGTAGAAACAGTACAGAAAGTTTTAACAACAGCACAAGTGCAGTAAGAGAGACTTTGTCCTAAGCTTGACAGAGATCTTGACTTTATTCTTCTGTGGTTGTGTATATGCTTTATTATTCATACACATCATCACTATGAGTATGGCTTATAAATATGACTCCTAATTCTCCAAACTTGTGTCTGCTGAAATGCCTCAGAAACTGAAAAAGCCACCAGGATAATTGAAGTGTCAGGGAATTTGGAGCAATACATGGGAGCTGGAGTTCTTTCAGCAATGCTTCTTGTCTCTGTCTCAGTACTGTCTGATCCATGTTGTCTTACTCCAAGTTGGGGAGAGGGAAAGGCTTCATTTGGGAGATCTGAACTAGCTTTATGTGCAGACATTTTGGTTCTGGAGAGTTCATGAAAATTGATTTCATGTTAGGCAAGAGTTTTAGTTCAGGCAGAGTTTATAAGATTTACTTGCTTCCAGGTGGGAAAAAAGGCCGTGTAAGCTTTGTGTTGTCTCAGTGGAGATCTTGGACAGGCCTGCCAGACTGGAACAAGATTTGAGTGCCATACCTAGCTTAGCACAGAAACAAATTCCATGTAGGTGGATGAGTTGCCCACTTATAAAAACAGAGTTCCTGCTGTATTGATATGCAGGCTTAGTTGAATGTCTTCTAAGAGTTGTTTGGTAAAAACTCACAGGAAAGACCACAAGGTTTATAAGGCACTCACTGGAAAGTCAGAATCTCGTTTCAGAGTGTTTTGTTTCTCAGTATTGAGTGATAAGCACAGAAGGTGAAACTGTTGTTTTAATAATGCCACTGATTGCATGATTGAGTGAATGTGGTATCAGAATGAAAACAAGTGACTTCCAGAGTGTGTCCAACATCTCCATTCACTCAAATGGGCTGGCAGAATAGTAGGAGTAGCCAAGAGCCTTGTTTCTTCCTGCAAATATTCCATAACATAGGCATGTGTTGGTGTTGTTAATCAGATCCCTTTGCAAATACTTCTGCTTCTAGGAAGTTCTATGGAAGACAAAACTGGTAGAGAGAACTGCATAGCTGCAGCTGATAAAGAAAATACTGTGAGTTATTTCACTTTATAGTTGCCCCAAGTATTCTGAGCATTTCTAGGTAGCAGGAATTATCAGCATGTATTTCTCTTTCTAGAACTTAGAAGTTTTGTCTCCTTTTGTTGTCATGTTCTTGTATATTAGAATATTTCTACCCTAATGGGGAGGTTTTATCCTGTAAGAATGACTTCAATTTTTCTTCCACAGGTGTCACATTCTAATTGGATTAATGGGAAGCCAAAGAAATTGCAATGTTCCTCTAAGAGTGCTTTTTCTATTTGCTATGATAAGAGTTTCTTGAGTTTGTTAGTGCCACCCCCTAAAGGGGGCACTTGCCATCGTTGTGGTCTGTTTGGTAAGTGCCTGCTGTCCTGTGGCCTGTGACACACAGTACATCTATCACTGAAACCAGATCAGGTTTGCTCAGAAATGCATTCAAATGGAGAAATATTTTTAACTCTCAGACACAAGTGTAGAACATAGTTAGAGTAACAGGACTGACAAGCAGAAGAGAGCATTTCTTTATCAAAAGTGGTGGGTTTTTTCCCCTTAAATATAGAAGGAATTTGGGATATTTGGGCAGCAATGTCTGATAACTGTATGTCAATACAAATACATATTTGTATGTGCTTAGAATTGCAGGGGAGCTGTTTTGTAAAGCAGTTATTTAAACAGTTGTTGTTCCTTCCAATACGTGTTTTGCTCAGACTTCTCTTGTCTTTTCTTTTGGTTTGTTTTAGGAAAGCTCAGATGCTCACAGTGTCTGCAAACATACTATTGCTCTGCAGATTGCCAGAAAAAGGACTGGCCAGCACATAGAGTAGTTTGTGATCCCCTTAAACAGAAGTAAGTTTGTTTAAAGTTCTGCCAAATAATCTTTGCAGGAAGACAATGTCCCTGCCACTACAACATAAATGACCGTGGGAAGGCACTATTCCAGTCAAACATGTTGCTTATTCTTAAGCTAGAACTGCATTATCTTATGCCTGTCATTATTGCATATTGCCACATTTGTAATTCTGCATTTTAGTGGATGAGGAATAAGGGTTGGCAAAAATCACATACTACAAACACAGCGTTTTATCTATTTGCAAGTAGATTGTATTATTAATGCTACTTGTCAGTCTTTGGTTCTTCAAACTGACATCTTTTTCTTTGATTACAGTTTAAATAATAGCAAAGCCAAGACAGGAGTGTATCTTAAGGTATGTCATACAATTTTGACTGTGTCTTGACTGGATCTGCTGTGAGTGAGTGGCAGTGTGCTTCATTTAACCTGTACAGAAAAGGAGCAAGTTGCTCATTTTAGAAAGATCAGTGCTTCAAATGAAAAGCTATTGGGAGAAGCATTCAGAAAAATGTTACTTCTGGAGCTCCTAGAAGCACTATCAGACCACCCTGGGAGTTTTTTTGAAAAAAATAAAATTGTGAAAAAAGTTAAAAATCAGGACACATATGATGTTGCTAGAGAAATAGTGTGGGAAGGAAGCAGATGTAGTGTGTCCAATACAGAAAAATTCTGGTGTCTTGTTTCTGTGAAGAAATAATGAGCTGGCTCTTAGAATCTAGGAAATTTATTAGATAAATATATTTAATGTAGTATACATTAACAGTTGCAGATAAGCTGTTGCTTCTTTGCTGTAGAAGGAACTAAAGATGACACAGTTCTCCTCTGTAATTTGTTAAAGCCTCTCTTGATCTTTCTTTGAGCCAAACATGTCTTCCTGTGAACTCTTCTGCAGGAGTTGATTTTTGTGTCGTTGTGGTTTTTTGGGATAACATTTTTGAAGGTGGATAAGTTTGCATACCTCCAGCTAGCCTCTTGCTTGCACTGCAGAACTCCTTTGTCGTGTCATTCTTTGAAGTAGCTTATTCATCTGTTTAACTTTTTGAAGGAATGTGGAAAGGAGGCTTCATGTCATGAGACTTCTGTTAGCTCATCCTGTTAGTTCGTGTTGTGTGTGTGCTTGTGACTGGGTTCTAATGAAACTTATCAATTGATGATGAGGGCCCATTACACCAAGTGGTTGTACAATATGAGCAAAAAATTTGCAGTCACTTGATTTTCAAAGAACAGAAGGGGTTTTGTGATCTTGTTCACCTTTTGAAGCTCTCATGAGTTCTGCAGAAGTAAGAGATTACATGTTGAAGGGTATTAAGGTGGGTTACATTAAATTATTAGACTTTTTAAAAATGGATGCCAGCAGATAGAACAGGAGTTCTAATCTACTCTGAGGTGTTAAGGTGATGAGGAAGCAGGTGGAATTAGATTCTTATTTATGAGAGCATCATAAGTGGGAATTTCAGCTGAGTTGTCCTGTAAAACAGGAGTGGGGAGGTGAATGTGTGAGTCTGCAGCACTTGTTCTTCATTGATGTTCAGTATATCTCTGCAGTGTTTCTTGGACTTTGTTACTACAAGGAGCTACAGCTGAACAGCTTCATATTAAACATAACTTGTACCTGTTTTAAATAGGGCAATTCAACTTCTAGGGATTCTTTATTTTTACCTTAATTTCCCAATGCTTTAGAAGAGAGTGCAGAAGTTAGTTGAATTGAAGCCCCAACAGCAGCTTTAATGTGCAAGGTGATATTTCTGAAGGCCTTAGTTATTTAGTCACTTAGATAGGGGGAAATAATCTGCTATCCCCTCTTGTTCTAATTATATTATTTCCAGGCCATTAAGTGTTTCTTTGCCCATTTTGATCCAAAAGGAAAAGGATGGAATGAAGGCATTGCCAGGTTTTTCTCTCAGCTCATAGGAAAGCACTGTTCACTAACTGGTGTTGATGTATTGCAGGAGGAAGTGAGGTTGAGTTTTGCTGTAGATGTTGTGCTTCCAGATTCTGGTGAGTGTTTGGTTGCGTGGATAAAACAACTCACCATAATTAAGGCTTTGATGTTCACACCCCTCCTAACACCTGTAAAAGATAACCCCTGTTTATTTCTTTTGCTCTCCTCCCTCTTGTCACTTTGCCAGCCTCTCCCTTGACTTTTTCTTTCTCAGTTGTACTTTATTTCACCTTTCCACAAAAATGTCAGTGCCTGAAATACCTTGCTAAGCTTAATAACCTTAAATTTTAGTAAGTTTACTGTAGGAACTCAGTACATCACTCCAAATGTCCAGAGCTACCGAGACAACCCTTGGGGGACTCAAAGGCCCTAGAATGTTACCAAAAGTACCTAGTGACTTGACTTTGATCCTTTTAAAGAAATAACACCTAAAAGTGAGGAAATGAGAGAATTTCATGTCTGAATGGTGAGGAGATGTTATTCACTTGTTAGAACTTAAGTTAGAATACACTGTACAGGGGGGTTTTATGTGTTGTACAAGAGGGTCTAAAATTCTGTGCATAAATCAAAAGTCCCAAGATAAAAGAATTTGGGCGTGCCCTGTCCTTCTTCTTTCTTCTCCTTGACATCCATGTTCAAGATAATGTTGACATGTGTAAATTAGTTCATAGAAAGAATACACTTGCCAACAAGAACAAAAAGTATTGAAAAGTAAAAGTAAATATCTAATACATAATTTTCATTATAAAAAAGACAACCACCTCGTAGACAGAAGAAAGTACCTTTAGCTGTCTTACTAATCAGACCTCAGCTAAACAAAAAGAAAATCTTTGTAAATAAGAAATAATAAACTCAACTAAAGACCTAAAAGCAAGAGTCCAAACTCCTCCTTCGAGAGCACGACCTACCCAAAACCACTTTTTCCCATGCTGGGGCAGAGACAAGTAACAACCAACCCCAACATTTACTTTTCCAGTAGAATTGTATTAACTTCACTGTGTTCTGGATCATCTTATTTATTTTTCTGTTTTAATAGATGCATGAAAATTTGGTACAATTTTGTTTCTTTCTCATGCATTTTTAACTCTTTAAAAATTAGTGTCAATTTTCAGTTCCATGTAGGATTTTACCAGCTTTCATGATATTTCATACATGCTCACTAAGTATTCCAGAGAAAGAACAATCATTGGATATTGCTGTATCCAGTTGGAGAACTCTATAAGCATATTTATATTTCTAACTTTGCAAGCTTCTATGAGAGACAAGCCAAGCACAAGACCTTTGAGGAGTAAGAATTCAGATTTTCAGTTGAGCTGGGTTTGATTGTCAAAGGTGTACCTTTTGTTATGTGCAAGACTATTGTTTAGATTTTCCTCTGGCTGCAGAGCAGGAACAATGTAGTGCCAAGACCATATTAATTTAATTGATCTGCATCCCACAGAAACATTCAGAGATGTGATGGTTGATGCTCCAAGCTTGCTAAACTTGCTCATGTGCAGGAAGCTTATCTCCATGTAATACTATAGGATGGTTCTCTTTATCCCCTGTAAATTCAGCTGATTAAGGATTGTGCTGGGCATATTTCACATTTGCTTGCTTCACAGCACACTAGTGGAGAAGTGATGTGAAACCTGCCAACCTTTTGGAGAGAAAGTCACATAAATGTCACTGCATTCTTGAAATGTTCCATGTGTTCATTCCAGACTTTATAAGCAACTGAAACACTTGTATTGAGGTTTTAATTTGAAAATAATGGTATTGAAAGTTTGGAATGGTGCTTCATGCATCAGAAATGGAGTATGTAATAGCTGAAAAACCAAGATTTACAAAGACATCCTGACTAAATCATTACATACTCAGTGTTGTCAATAATGAGGTAAGTTAAGAATCCTGGTGTCTAAAAAGCAGTAATCAGTTTTTCAGCTCACAGCTTTTAGTGACTGCAAGTAAATGTTGATTGTTACTGCTTTGCTCATTTTATGAAGTCAGACAGTCTTGGAGCTGTGAATGTGCTCAGAGAACTCAAGTAGTTGAGCTACTCTGAAATTACCTTTGTTTTGCATTTTAAATGTTAAGTGCTGAGCAAATAAGTAGAATGAGCTCACCTTGTGATAAGAATATAGATCTGGCTTAGAGGATGGTTCTGAAGTGAAACTAGCTGATGGCTATTTTGTGTGATAAATCATTTGTTCTTGCATCTGTATTTTAGAAGACTGCCTAGATAAAGTTCCCTTAGAAATGAAGTCTCATTTAACTTCAGGAAGTGATGCCAAAGTAGACTCTCCAGGAGGTAAGCAAGCAAACCAAACTAAACTTGGGGAATTTTAGGTCCTCCGGTGCTGCCTGGTATTCTAGCTGCTCACTAGCATCACCTCTAACTTACAAATGTTGGCTAATGGAGCTTCAAGTCACTGCTCACATTAGCTCATAGAGATTGTAATAGTATAAAACATTTGTGTAGTGATTATTATGTGAGCATTAATTTCATAATATGACAGGAGCCTTCAAAGTTCAAAGTATCAATAAAAAGAATAAACTATTTCAGTATGTTTATATTTTCAGTCAGCTAGCTTTTGATTGGCAATGTTTTTTCTTTTTTCTGTGCAGTATCAGAAAACCATTCAAAGGGAGGTGAAAAAAAATTACTTGAGGATGAAGACTGTGTTAATTCAATTACCAAGTTTGTCTCTTTAAGTATTGGAGATGAATTTTCTGGTGTGGTTTCTCACATTCAAAATCCAGACACCTTTTTTTGTCAGCGGATGCAAAGTGCCCGTAAGTGAAGGGTTGGTAATGGGATGTAGAATGCCTGGTATGGAATTTTTCTCTTTAGTAGGGCATGGCTGGAGGAAGGTGGATTTTTCTTCTCTGTCCATGTGCAGCCTTTTAATTCTGGGTAATCAGTAGCAAAGTGTGTCCTTTGGGAAGAAGTGAACTGCCTCATCACCTGCCTGTTGTTGGAAGAGCTGTCTTCTTTGGTTTCCTCTTGGCATGCCTCCACTAGCTTGCTTTCAATTTGCACTGGCTTCAGCTTTGTCCCTTTGTTGAAAAAATCCATCACTGGTTTTCCCTGTCTGTTCCCTGCTGTGATTCCTCAGACACACATGAGGACTCCCTTGGATGTTAATGATTGAAGGGCCCTAGTCTCATCAATGTTAAACATTTGAAATTCTCTCTATTACACTACAAGATGTTCTTCCAGGCTTTGAGCTTAATTATTTTGTAATAATTGCAAGACAGACCATGTTCCAAAACCTATGTATTTTAACATCAGGTCAACTTGCTGAGCTTGAAGTATCTCTTAATGAATACTGTGGCAAAATTCCCAGTAGTCCATCTTTCCGTCCTGCTGCTGGCAATGTGTGCTGTGCCCAGTTCACAGGTAAAAATGGACTAAAAATACTAAGTTATGTCACTTAAATTTATTATCAAAAATATACATTTTGTAATTATGTTTAGAAATGTTTTATATAGAATTTATTTATCTTTAATTTTTAGCTGTGGGCAATGCTAGGTAGTGATTTGAAAAATTGTATCTGTAAAATACCAATTTTAAAATGTTCCTTTATTGAGCAAACTCTTAACACTGGATTCAGATTATTTAGAATAGCTTATTAAGAGATCATGGAAAGTTTGGGGTTTTTATGTTGCTAAGTACTATTTTCCCAGGGTTGGAAATAAGTATATCTTTGAAATTTCAGTTCCACAAAAAAGCACAGAAGAAATGGGATTATATGGAAAGATGCCATTCTGATAGACTTCTTCTCAAAATGCTACTTTAGCCAGCACCTGGTAGTCCTGAGCTGTGCTGAAATGGATGTATTTTTATATTGGTTTATAACAAAAAAATGATTCTGTTCTCAGACATTACATCTCTGTCATCCTTTGTAGAAGACAACCTTTGGTATCGTGCTGCTGTTACAGCTTATGCTTCTGAAGACACTGTTTTGGTGGACTATATGGATTATGGTAATTCTGACTCTCTTCCACTGACCAGACTTCGTCCTATAATTCCAAGCTTAATGGACTTGCCAGCTCAAGCCATAAGATGTAGCCTGGCAGGTACGAAGTAAATGATTAGCAGTTTCAAACTAGATAGGGGGAGAACAAGAGGTGTTTCATAACCACCACACCTGTAGCATCTCACATTGAAACATGGGGAAGGATGGAGGTAATGGTGGGCATTATTTCCAGAATTCTTAACTGTCATGGCATATCTACAAAATGTGGCAATATTTCAGAATGTACTTGCAGTTGTTATACCTGTCTACACATTGTGAGAGTTGGACTGACCTCAGAACCTTTCCATACTATGTGACTTTTTAGGTGTAAAGCCACCATTAGGAGCATGGACCTCAGAAGGTATTTCTTACATGAAAAAACTGGTGAAAGACAAAGTGTTGACAGTAAAAGTAGTGGATAAAGAGAGTTCTAAATCCGTGGTGGAGCTCACAGATGCATCAGGTACTCCAGTAATAAATGTATCAAGCCTTCTCATCCAGAAGGGCTTTGCAGCTGAGGAACTGAGCATGGCCTTACCAGCAGCCAGAGGGAGTGATGCTGAGCAAGCCAACAGTGAGTATGGACATGTCTTGCTGCCCTGGCATTGTTTGCCTCCTGCTGGAGTGGGTACAGAGAATGCAAGCTCTTATCTCTAAGAGCTTTTCAGCCTGGCTCATCAAGTCTGGCTTTCACAAGTCCAAAGTTTAGCCATGGCATCTTAACAGTAAAGAATTGTGTGTCTGTGTGTGTGTCCAGTTGTGCACGCTTAACAAAGTTGTAACTGCCTGCTTCTGGAAGCTGGTACTTACTCTTGTTGTAAGTCTTACAATTTCCAGTTGAAGTAGGCTGTGACTGGTTACTACCTGCTTGTTCTTCCGCCCTAATCCATTCGTGTAAATAATATTTGCTCTATTGTGATCCTCATTGTCCTATATTTTACACATAAACCCACATACATAGTCCTTGAAAATTTGACTGTAGTAGCTTATAAAGCTTTAAGTCTATGCTTAAATTGTCCTCTTGGATTTAGTGACCAAAGCTTCAAGCCAAGATATTTTTACTTAAGTTACATTGAATTTCTTTGAAATCTTGGGGAAGATTCCTGGTTTATGAAGCATGCTAAGTTCCTCTTTTTTCCATCCTGTGGCTGGCAAACATATGTATTCTCTTCTGATCCATTGGTTCTGAAAACTTTTTGTCAAGTCTATGTTCAAATAATTTCAATCTTTCTCACTCAAGGCCTTGTGGCCGGGACACAATTACTCCTTGTCTTTGTTCAGTAGAGTAAGGAATTTTACAAAAATTAGAATAAGCAGTAACTTTCCTGGCTGTATCTAAACACATTTTGATCTGTGGCCCTCATCGAGGGCCTGTTTTGTACTTACTTGGTTTATTGGTTGCCTCTCACCCTTTTGTAATTTCCATCACTGAGCCAGAGCTGTTGAATGCAGGTTTTAAATAGACTGTTCTCCAGTGCTATGATTTAGTGTTCTCATGATGTATTCTACAACTTGTGTTAAATAATAAATTTCTTTCAGATACCTGAGTATAATATTCAGTGCAAATTTCTGCAACCAGTCTTTCTAGTAATCTTCTTTGCTTTTCCTCCTTAGGTTGTTTCCAGTTGTCTTGGTGACAGATGTTTCCCTCTTCTATGCTCCTTACCCTGTTTCCAGGAACCAAAGTTCCCCAGTGTCCCTCTTGCCCAGGCTGTTGCCAGCTAGTCTTTATCTCTTTGTGTAATTGCTCTTCACTGCTATCTATGGCTTGCTCTTTTTGGTAATGAAGCATTAAGTTAAAAGAATCTTGGCTTTACTCTGCAAAGAGCCTCTCACTGGTGATTAGTCTGTTGGACAGTTTACAACAAGAAATTCAAGGATGCAAATGAGCATTTGGGAAGGGATTTTTTTCCTGTAAAAGTTTAATTTCTTTTCATTCTATGTTTTTATCTGTTCTTTCTAGAGGACACAACAAACAAAAGAATGTGCAAGTGGATTAAATTAACTCTTAACCAAACACTCAGTGTCATAGTATGTACAGTGTACAATCCTGGAGAATTCTACTGTCAGATTTCAAACAGCCATGGTAAGTTCATTCAGCTTAATTCTTTCTGAGAGTTTCTTGATTTCCTGCTTTGTCACTTTTTATAGTTCTAATGAACTAGTATGTCAAGTAAGCTTACAGCATGAAGGCTTACCTCTGAGGTTTTTATCCAAGAATACAAATGGAGTGACAAAGAAATTAGGTCATGGTATTGAAATGTGAAAATGTTGAAGATAAGCAGTAGAGGAAAGTGAAAGAGTTACCATAACCTAGCCAAAGGATATCTTATTTTTATTTTTATTTTTCACTGCAAGAGTGGCCAGGCACTGGAATAAGTTGTCCAGGGAGGTGGTAGAGTCATTGTTTCTGGGAGTGTGCAAGAGGCATCTGGATGTGGTACTTAGGGGTGACTGTGGTGTGGTGCTGGGTTGATGTTGGGCTGAATTATCTTCATGATTATGGATTCTGTTAAAAAAAGCAAATAAGAGACATGTTCCCTATTGCAAGACAATATTCACTGGAGCTCTCTTCTAGTGCACTCCTGTAACTTAGAAAAACTTAGAGATATAATAATTGCAACACAATTAGCAGCCATTGAGACATGACTTCCTATTGGATTAGTTAAAAAGTAATCTTGTTTCTCTACCAGAAGTCTGTATAAAGACTTCTGATAGCCATTGGTGTTTTAAATGCTAGAAAAAGAATGTGACAAAATTCGGTGGCTGAAGAGGGAGCTAAAGGCATCCAAACAAAAAATACGGGGCAGCTCTTAAAATGAGGGGTGTTTGTTCCTTGACTTTTGTAGTCAAGGAATACATTTGAAGGTTTACAAGTAAACTGTAAAACAGCATGGATCAAGTTCAAGTCAGCTCATTTCATTGATCTCATCTTTGGGGTTTTTTCTAATTTTCTTTGGTTTTCTTTCTAATTTTCAGAGTTACTTGCTCTAAACTCACTTAACAAATCATTGTCTGAATACTGTCAGAGAACACCACCAGATGTTTTTGAGCCTGAGAATGGAGACCCTTGCTGTGCTTTTTACTCTGGCAAGTAACAGACTGAAGTAGTTTTGTTTTTATAGGGTGAACATGAAAAATCAGCTGATAGTTTACATTGGTAGAGGAGAATTATATTTATTTACTAACACCTGAAAGCTGGTAGACTTACCAAATGTGTGAAGTAATTATTATTTTTTTTAATCTTCTTTAAAATTAGAGGATGGTAACTGGTACCGTGCTGTGGTGCAAAATGTCACTTCAGAGGGAAGTGTTCGAGTGAGCTTTGTGGACTATGGAAACACTGAGGATGTACCACGGGATAATATCCGACAGATCTCGTCCTCATTCCTAAAACTTCCATTTCAAGCAATTAAATGCTGGCTCTCAGGTGAATCTTATTTTTTTTTACAAGAGCTCTTGCATGTAGAGACTTGCTGCTTTGGGGAAGGAGGTGATGACAGGGAATACTGTGCAGAACTCTGTTCTTTTGGGTTTGTCTGCTTTCTCTGAGCTCCTGCCAGTTCTCTGGAGTGACCTGCATGGACTTTGCTTACTGCTTTACTGCTCAAAAGGGAGCTTGTTTAGTTCTGCTTCATCTGTAGTGCTTACTGGTTTTTAGTTGGTGTCTTCCTAGGAGTAAATGTGCTTTTGTGCAACTTTATTTCTCACAATTTTTGCAGGCAATGGAGCTAATCTGTTTAAATAAAGCAAGGTGGCCTTTCAGTTCTCTTTCATTTGACTCCTGAAGAGTTTGGCACTGTACTGCTTTCTCAGTGTTCTGCAAATTCCTTTTCCACACCGTTCAACATTCTGCAGAGCTTCTCTTTATTTCTGGTGTAGTCTGCTTGGTTTAAAAATGAAAAATTTGGAAACAGGAAAAAGCTCAAAACCTCATTTTGTTCAAATGTCTTGTGCTGTTCCCCTGCCCACCCACCCTTAAAACACTTAGGTTTTGTCTGCTCCTTTGATAAAAAGGCTTGGCTATACTGATCCAAAACCAGTTTTAATAATGTTATTTGTGCTGAGGCAAAGGATTTACTTGGTTGAATCATAAAATATAGAAGATGAGACTTGGGAGTCTTGAGAAAATGTGGGCATTTAGAAAAAAGGAGGAAGAGGGAGAGCAGTTAACAGGATGAAGGGCAATGTGTTGCCCTAGGGTAGTAAAAGTAGCCTTGATATTTCAGGATATGCTCTGAAGAGATTTTTTTTAAAGTACTTTTTAAAGGAAATTATAATGTTGAGGAAAATCAGTAATAATGAATGGAGATATTTTAACATTTCTTACTTCCCAGGTGTAAAGCCTGGAAATACCAAGTGGAATCCAGAAGCTACAAGAAGATTTCATATGTACACTTCAGGCTTAGAGCTTCAAGCCACAATAACTTCCCTTTCTGAAGATGGGGCAGGTGTAATTCTTACTGATAATTCCACAGATTGTCCAGCAATTATCAATGAGATACTAACTTCAGAAAAACTGGTTGTAAAGGATGTTCTGCAAGATAAAAATAACTTTCCAAACACATCTGTTGACCAAAAAGGTAATTAAAGGAATGTTAACTTATAGATTTAACAATAATTTTCAGTATTCCAGCCTTTAACTGTTATTTTCTTGTTTAACTACAGTTAATGTCAATGCATAGTTTTGGGTATATTGTCAGTTCTTACAGTTGAACACCAGCTGCCCTGCAGGTGGCATTACAGACAAAAAAAGAAAGTTAAAAATCACTGTTTGTCTTAAATGAATGTTGCTTGACTCTGTGGGAATCAGAGAATTAGAAGTTTTCTATGACTGAAACTTTTCTCAAATTTGCTTTTCAAGGTCTTATTTTTTCTGAGCTGTTTTTTACTTTAGCTACTTTTATATGCCAACAGTTTATGAACAGCAAAGTAAGCATCATTTATCTTGCTTTAGGTTTGTCTTCCTGAAGGGAAGGCATGTAGTCGTGTCTGAAATTCAAAAAAATATTACAAATATCAATTAAAATAACAGTTCCTTAAAATAGATGTATGCTTGGAGGATAGTGGTAACACTGCATTTTCTTACCACTTCTATTAGCAGCCTCACTTGGGCACTGGAAGTCAATTGAATTGGCTGTAGATGAAACCATGTCTGTCTGTGTAACTGAAGTTGTAAGCCCACACTTGTTCTATGCTGTACCAGTTCCAAATAAAGGTAAGAAAAAGTGTTCCTTGTTCCTAATACCAATAAGAGGTCACTGTTGAAGCTAGTTAATACAATTAATGTGTGTAGTGAACTGAACCATGTAGAAATGTATTTTAGGCAGTAGGAAAATATAAAAAATGTCAAAGGGGAGAGCAGGGGGCTTAAGTATGCTCTTCATTGTACCCACATGTGGTTAGTGAATGTGTTTTTTTCCTGTAGATCAAAAGAAGCTCCTTAAGGAGCTGATTTCACTGGGAGACTATTGTAGATCTTGCAACAAACAGCCCTTCCAACCAAAACTGGGTGAAGCCTGTTGTGCTCAGTTTTCAGGTGAGACAATCGTTTGTCCTTCCATTTCCTTGGCCAGTGTAAAACACAGATTTCATTTTTGATTTAGACAAAGGAAGACCACCAACTTGAAAGTGCTTATGGATCTCTTAATTGTGCTTCTTGTCAATTGGCCTTTTATATATCCACCACAGTATTTAAAATCTCTTTAAAAATGCTACAGTTTCTTGTTCTCAGGATAAACGTGTGTTTATAAGATGATTCTTCACACATTACCATTCTTGTCCCAATCTTTTCAGGTAATGGCAATTGGTACAGAGCTGTTGTTCTGGAAGCTTCCCAGTCTGCAGTGAAAGTTCTGTATGGAGACTATGGCAACACAGAAACTTTACCCCTTTCAAAGGTGCTGCCAATCACTGATTCCTATTTACAGCTGCCTTTTCAGACAATTACATGTTCACTTGCAGGTAAAAAAAAAACTCCTCAAAATAAGCAAAAAAACCCCACCCCAAAACCCCTGACTGGTTTTCTTGAATATTATAATTTTTTTACCTGTTCTGGTGGTAGTGTTCATTCCCTAATACTGGTAAACAACCTGATGGTCTTCTGAAATAGTATATTGGTAAGCATGATAAAAGCTGGTTTAGAAAACATGTTTTTAGTTTATTAGAATTTAAGCTATTTATATTAGGAAAATCTAGCATCATATTTTCCAAAGCATGTATGTACGATTCAAGTTATAGTTTAAAGGAATTATTTATATAACAAATTTGATTTTCCTTTTTTTGCAGGAATAGAGAAAGCTGAGTGGTCTCCATTAGTGCTTGACAAGTTGAAAAAACTATTATTGAAGCAACATGTTATAATTACAGTGAAAGGGATTAATGGAAATGTTAATTTAGTAACAGTGGAGAAACACTTGGATGATGGTTATGTGAATGTAGCTGACAAACTTCTAAAGGAGGGCTTGGTCACATCCTGCAGTGCTAAAAACTCGCATAGTGAACATCAAGGTACATACTTTGGCTTGATTACTTCTCTTTGCTTATTCTGAAGAACTTGTAAGCACATGGGGTGGCTAAACAACTTTTGCTTCTTAAAGTCCCGGACAACATCACATGTCACGTCTTAAATTAGGAAAGGAATGTATGTGTGTATTTTGCTCATTCACTTTGGTTTTTGTAGGTAATGAAGGTGAGACCAACTGCTGCTGCAAGGAATTAAAAGTGCAAGTAAGATTCACTCCAAGCAATACTTCCTTTTTTATGTTTCCAGAATTCAAAAGAAACCCTGTGTAGGAAGCAAATGGGATTAAGGGGAATAATAGCTACTGAAACATGGAAGTTTAGTGAAATGTATCCTGACACTTGTTCTCAGGTTTTTTTATATATGGTGGTAATTAGAGCACCCTGAAGCTGAGGGAGGATGGTGTTTAGAGCACTCAGACTTCATTAGTCTGTACTTTGCCCCACAGACAGCTCTTACTTCATTTTTCAAGTGTTTGAAGTCTCAGGAGTGTCACTTTTCTCTGTTATCTAATTTAAGATGCTGATCTCAATCTTAATTTGAGTATTTAATCAATTTAGTTTAAGGAAGCTGCTTCAGGAGAAAAAAGGGGGGAGGGACACATACATTGACAAGGGCAAGTCAGCTACAGTTCTGTTGGCTGTTTCCCCCTCCAGAAAATTCTACAACAGAAAGGAACTAAATCTATTTATTGAATTAATACAGTATTTAGCTGAGTTTGTCATATTAGCATCTACCCTGATCTGAGATCAGCAATTTAAAAAACACCAGAATTGTATATTTCTAACTCTTTCTGCTTATTCCACAGCTTGAAAAGCATAAACAAGTCCTACTCTTCCTTTTAAACAAGTTTGGGAATCCAGATGGATTCACTGATATGAAAAATCTGTTGAAGCACTAAGTCTCTGACACGCACCATTTCATTTTCATGTCCACCAAGTTGCTGCAGTTCCTTTTTTAGAAGATCAAGAGCATCAGCTTAAACAATGAGGGTCACTTTGTAGAAACTGTGCTGTTTAAGTACTGCTTTTATCTGTATGCTTGATTGTTACTGTGACACAAGTATGTAACTTGGAGGATTGCAAAGCTGCAAGCTAAAACTTTGTTCTGTTCTTATGCCACCATGTGCTAGTAAACATTTTGCATGTATTTTCCTGTTGAATGCACAGAAGTTTATGGAATGGCCATTACATTGTGAGTCTGTTCTGCAGACTTGCATTTGAAATTATTATAAATGTAAGGCTCACTTCACTTTGGTACCATTTATATTACTTGAAAAACTTTGTATCTTCTTTTGATTACTCATCTTTCAACCTGATTTCTGGTCTGAAGTTAGACCTCCATGTGTTCTTCATAACCTTGATTTCAGTATCATTAAAGGTTGAATGTTGTCTTGGACTGCACACAGGTAGTTCTCTCTGAAATCAGTAAACACTTTAATGTGCACAGTTCCTTTTTTACACTTATGCTGTATAATATGCATCTGTGAATGCTATTTTGAAGTGAATTGTATTGAAGCTGTTTTTTGTGTGGCTACATCATCAGGATTTCTACCCCATCAAGTCTTCACATTGTAATAAAAAAGACCCAGTCCTGGCTATGACAAAAATACCGAATCAAATTATTAAGAGATTATCAGTCATTTCTGACTAATTCAGGAATGTCAGACTATATTTTGTGGAACACAGTAGACATTTGCTGATTGAAACTGCAGGGTCAGCCTTTTTGTCCACTTACAACACTTCAAGTTTGGGCTTTTGCAGATTAGAAGAATCTTGAGATTAAAATTGTTGCGAAATACTCTCCTTTGACTTAATGTTTTATTACACTCAAATTGCCTCCATTTTTTTCCCCTGCCTCTTAGTTTTTGTTGCATCATATTCTTGCAGTAACTAATAATTAGATGAATATTTGCACTTGAATTTCTGGAGTTCTATTCGTGCCCCTGGTTCTGAACTAAGACTGTGGCTTTGTCAAGGGTCCTTGGACTCTCTGGGACTTGCACAAGCCTTTGCCTCCATGCAAAGCACCTCACTGATGATTTAGTACTCCCACACCTCTTGTTCACTTGTCCACATCCTCCCTCAAAAGTGAACTGGAAATCTAGAATAACAGCACTTTTGAAAGGGAAGTAGTATGAAATTAATAAAAATTACCTAGCACTGCAAAGCAACAAGGCTTTTTTTATCCTTATAATTTTGATATATGAAGTACTGTTGAAGAAACTTGAGTATACTTTGCTTACTAAGTTTGGCTGAAATTCTTTATTATTTAGCATTTGGTGTGTACCTAACTGCATACTGTGAGGTAGACACAAGGCTGTGTTTTACCTGTACAATTCAAAAATAATTGATCATTTAGGCTTTGTGTGGGAAGAGGCGTGCAAGCTCTTCTTTGACTGAAAGAGCTCAGTGCTGTGCAACTGCTAGTATTGGCACAGAATAATAATAATAATAGCATAATAACAGAACATAATTTTTAAAACAGGCCCCTTACATCATTCCTCCAGGTGTAGCAGGTGTGAATGTGGTACTTCTGCTCATGGGTCAAGAATAGTTTTCTGTGGAAAAGAAAGCATTATAAAAAGCATTCCAAAAGCCTGGTTCCTACATGAAGCTCCTTGGGGGCTGCTGTGAGCAGAGGGACTGTGACTGTAGCGCTCGGTGCTGCTGCCAGGCCTGCTGGCTGTGCTCCAGGGCTGCTGACAGTTTGGGCTGTACGGAGCCTATTGGAGGAGTGGATACACCAATGTTCCTCCTAAATGTAACCTACAGCAGTGTGGGTGTTCCTGGGGTTGTTTCCCCACCCCCCAATCCGCAGTTACAGGTTCAGGCTGTGGTGGATGAGGAGGGGCTGTCACGGTGTCACTCCAGGTGGGGAGAAGGCTGCTCACAACCCCGCAGGTGCACCGGGGCCGTGCAGAGCCTGCCAAGAAAAGGTAAAGTGCGGCTCGGAGAGCTTTTTCCCCATCCTTTGAAACGGAGAACAGCCTAAAGCTCCGGCCGGGAGGGTGGGGGCCGTGTGGGGCTCAGGTGCTGGGGGCTCTCTCGCTCAGCGGAGCCGGGTGCGCAGCGGGGTTCGAGGGCAGCCCCGCCCGGCTCCTCCGGCTGCTGCTGGCCGGGAGAGCTTTCCCGGGGAGGGCTGGGGCTGGTTCCCAGCGGGCCGGGCTGTCCCATGGGCGGGGGACACCTTGCTGTCCCAGGGGCAGGGATGCGGCGGCCGGCTCCGAGCCCCGGGGCAGGGAGGAGGGACAGGAGGCTCCCACGAGGGCGGTTCCGCAGCCCAGGTCCCGTTCCGGCTCTGGAGCAGTCCCGGCCGCTGTGCCTCTGGTCCCCCCGCAGGGAATGCCGAGCTCAGTGCGGGGATTGCCGCAGCTCGGCAGGAACACGGCGTGAATCTCTTCAATGAATAAACAGGGCCGTGATGCGTTAGTAAAATAAAAATAATCCCCACCGCCCGGGAAACCAGACTCAGCCCGTGCTCTAGTGCTTTAATTACTTTGTTTCTAGCACTTTTGGGGTGCGGCCAGGGGAAATGCTGAGCCTGCCAGGGCTGGCTTTCCAACAGGTTGTGTCTCGCGTCTGTAATAGACATCTTTCTGCAAAAGACACAATAACAACTTGATCATTACTTAATAATCAAGGAAGGACTGATTGATACCTGTAATGTGTCCGGATGCTTCATGAAGGAAATGAGAGTAGCCTTTTTGTTTATTTTGCTTAGTAAAGGTGAGATATCACTGTGAGATAAATCATCCACACAATCAGATTTCCCCACGTTATTCAGCAAGGGCTGTGCTGGACAGGCAGTGTGTGTTCTGACCTGCTTCTCATCTGTGTGTTGGGGTATCAACCATGTCATCTTCAGTGTGTGCTCTAGCCACAGGCAAAGTCAGTAGCATAAGCACTTCTGTCAGAATAAACTGCACAGTAAGTTTAGCAAAACTCTTGGGTCAGAAAAGTGCCTTTTATTCTGTAGCTCATGGGTTGTACAAGATCTGATCTGCAGCTGATTTTGACAGTACCCCATGTGAGCAGTGCTGCAAGATCAAGGTCTCTTTATGCACAGGAGTCTGCTGTACAAGGGAAAAGAGCCTCTCAAAACTCCCTCACTGCAGAACTGGGCTGGGGAGAACAAATAAACTGGTTTTGCAGAGAATCTTCTGCAAATTTAATCCTGTTTATCCCTTGGAGGAAAACATTGTCAAAACTTTTAGAGTGAAATTTGTGATGTTTGTTTTAGGGAGAAGTGCGTTGTCTTCCTCCTTGCCCTTCAGTTTCAGATCCCACTGTGGGCTGCCCCCAAGCAATGCCTGTGGCTGAGCAGAGGGGATGCATGGGGTTCCTAACAGAAGTTGCTCACTGCCTCCCAACCTTGGCAAGAAGAAAAAAGCAAAATTTATTTATGGAAAACAAGCTGAGAGAGAACTGAAAAAAGAGACAGGAAGATTGGTTCCCTCTCTCCCTCCCTACATCTGAACATCAGATGAGCACGTAGCGGTGAGCTCCCCTCAGCAAGCTGGGGCCATTTCTCAGCACTGACAGGAGCTGCTTGGCTTGTTAACAATATGTTTTAATGAATATGCAGTGTAATCTTTCCTGCTTTCTCCTCGATTTAAATGAGTGATATTTTGCAATGTTGAAAGACATGTTGGGAAGGTACTTGTCAAGAGGAGCTTTTCTCCCCTTTACCTCTCTTTCCCATCTCTGGCCTCACTCCTCCAAACACAGTACACATGGTTACAACTCTTACTTTGCAAGAGTAAGTTGCTGTCATATTCACGTGTCCAAGAGAGAATCTGGGTACAAAAATAGGAGTTTTGACTTAGTGTAGTATTTAAAAAAATATGTATTTTTGACTCATTATTGAGGTAGATGTTATTAAAATTCCCTGTCTTAATGGCTGAGATGATAAAATGAAAATGTCCTTCACTCATCATCCCACTCCCACCCCCCCAGCAAACTGCTAAGTTTGCTGCTGCTAATCCTGGGCTACTGCTGATGAGCAGCAGGTGATGATGAAGCTTTCTTTCAGTTCCTGTTGCTGACAGTCTGGCTGGGCTAAAAGGCAAAGAATTCATCCTGCAGATTAGCTGATTTAAACCCAAGATAAAACCAAGTTGGCGAAACATCTTGACCTGTCAGTGTTTTGTATGAAAACAATGTGAAATCCCCAACACCTGTCACATCTGACTGCAAGCAGAGGCCTGTCCAGCTTGGGGTGATGTGCACCCTGGAAACAGCTCCTGGGAAGAATCTCCTTGAGGCATGGCAGAAGAATGACCTTTCCTCCGTGGAATTTGCAGGGTTTGAAGCTCCTGGGGGACACACAGTGGGGCTTCCCCAATGAAGTCCTGTTTTGTGTTGATCTCCCTTTACTTACTGTCTATTTGGTGGGGACAATCTGCTGAAGGGAGATGCCTGATGCACCTGGTGCTGCAAAACAGGGTTATTGTGTCTATAATCCCTGGTGGGGTGATGCCAGAGGGGATTTCTTAATCCCCTCTTCATTTTGTACCTGTGCAGGTAACTGGGCATGGCCTGCTTTGGGTATCTTGTCTTGTCTGATGTGAGGGATATATAATTTGCTGCAGAAACAAGAATTTCCTGGGAAAAATCCACCCATTTTCTATAAAAACAACTAATAGAGCTGGTTATCAAGAAGCACGCTTACTTGTCTTTAAACACATAAAGAAAATCTCCTTGTGCAATGACAGGGGCAGAGACCCATCAGGAATCTGCTCTAGTGAGTGCTTTTAATCTGGAGAAAAAAATAAATATACATGTTTGAAACAGAAAGCCAAGAGCTCTACCAGATACATTTGGTCTAACTCTGGGCATGCTTGAAAGTGTCACTGAAATCTACCTACGATGTGATGGCAGCCTCGCTGATTTCAAAGGAAAAATGAGCAGAAAATTGACTTTGCTGGACAGTTATGCATTAAAAACATCTCCTCAGAAAGCCAGTGCTTGTAAAACACGAGGTGTGAAAGAGCCTGGGGCTGAGTGTTGGAGCCGTGGGATGGGGATGGGGATGGGGATGGGATGTGCTGGACAGTTATGCATTAAAAACATCTCCTCAGAAAGCCAGTGCTTGTAAAACACGAGGTGTGAAAGAGTCTGGGGCTGAGTGTTGGAGCCCTGGGATGGGGATGGGGATGGGATGGGCAGCAGCGCCGCTCGAGGGACGGATCCCTGGGCTGGGTGGGGAGCTCGGGGGGGAGGAGGCTTGGATTGTCCTAGGTGGAGCCCCGAGCAGCTCTCTCGGGCTCTCCATCGGCTTTCCCATGCCCTGGTGGGACTCAGCTGGGAAAGGGAGGTGCCCAGGAGAGGAGAGGTCAGGTCTGGGTGGGCATGGAGAGGAGGGCAGGCAGGGCTGGCTGTCCCTCCCTCCCTCCCTGCCAGGGCTGCTCTCTCCGGATGTGATGGGAAAGGAGAGGAGTATGTTGAGAGATTTCCTTTTCTATTATTCCCTCATTTTCATGGTTTTTTCCTTCTATCTGTTCCCCACCCTTCTTCCCAGGGCAGGAATTACTTTTGCCCCCCAGACAAAATGTTTCTGAGCTCATCACCTGAGACATCCAGGAAGAAGATGATCAGCTGCAGGTAAAGAAATTGGCTTTGGGAATTGGATTTCTATTCCTCTCCTCTTTTGTTTCTTTTTGGTTTTTTTCCCTTCCAGATTTGTCACCATGAACCTCTTGTCATTTGAGCCCATCTGCATTTTCCTGCTTTCCCAAGGTATGTTTTAAAGCTGCCATTTTGCATCAGTGGTTTTTGTCTGGGGTGCTTTCCTATCTC